AGATACAGCCGGAGAGATGGTGACTTAACAACAAGAAGTACTTTTAAGGTTAACAGCGAATCATATTGTTAAAATGAGTCCACCATTTTCCTGAAGTGTCTTTTTTCCTGCTCCTGTCTTTCCCTTTCACAATCTCCACCATATGAGCAACCTTCTCTCTTTCCTACTTTCTTCCACTTTCTCTATGCTGACGGAGCCCTTCGGGGTATATGGAAAGGACACTGTGAGCCCTGAATGTGCTATTTTAGCTCACCTTCCTGGCGGAGGTCTTTGTTCTGCTCTGGCCACGTTGTTATGCAGTGAACAGCAACGCACATTTCCAACAGAGTGTGCTAGGCTTGGGACTGATCTGGCATCTGTTCCCTTGTGTATTCACTGGCCTCGCATTTAAGTTCCCCTGGTTTTAAACAACCTGCCTAAGCAGCTCACTGGGCCTGGTAAGTAATGGGTCAGTGTGCTTGGCCTGTGTACTCTATATTTTTCATCATATTGTGTACTTTATTTTTTATTAAGATTTGATTGATTGATTGATTGGAGTTAGACAGAGAGTGCACATGGGGGAGGAGCAGAGGGAGAGGGACAAGCGGACCCAGCGCCGAGTGCGGAGCCCCACACAGAGCTCAATCCCACAACCCTGAGATCATGACCTGAGCTAAAAATCAGATGTTGAACACTTTCCCGACTGAGACACCCAGGTGCCCCGAAAGCATTGTGTACTTTAAATGTTGAATTTCAGAAGGGATCTGGAGAAACTAGAACGTAGAAATTTCAGAAGCAGAACATCAAATATGAGTTACAGGCTAGCATACAGATTCTGAGGTATACTGTCGCTGCTTTCTCTTAGACGATGCTTTCTTGCTGTGTGCTCACAAAGTGGAAGGACCAAGAGTTATTTTTATGTCCATGGGGGCTCTACCGTCATGAGCTAATCACCTCTGGAAGGCCGCACCTCCAGATTTCACCACATTTCAGCGTATGAAACTGGGGCGGGGGGACACAAACATTCAGTCTGTGGCATGACACATAGCGACTATTACAGTGTCATACAGAAGAATTTCTCTGCTCTAAAGTCCCCTATGCGCCACTCATTAATCTCTTCTTCCCCCAACCCCTGACAACCACTGAGCATTTTTCTGTCTCCACAGTTTTGCATTTTCCAGAATATCATATAGTTAGAATCTGACAATACTTCGCCTTTTCCGATTGACTATCTTTTTTTTTTCATTCAGTAATCTGTGTTTAAGATGGTGCTGAGAATATTCTGGTTATAAAAAAGAACAATTAATACTGTTCATTTTTTACAGGATTGTATGACAAAGATATCACCTGTAATGATTAGCTGACTCCACGGGTGACACCCAAGAATAAATACATTTATTAAAATTTTAGGAACACTTTCTTAACTTCTCGAAGGGATTGTGCAGCAGAACGCACTGAATTCAGAAGATAAATATGCCACGTCTTCCCAGAGTGCTCATTTCATTTGAATACCTGGAGGAAGTTTTTTGTATTAGAAAAAAGCACGGATATATTCTGTAGTAGAATAGAGAATTTTCATTAGATAAAACAAGAGACTTAAGAGAAATGCTGAGCGTGTGGAGAACTGCTTCTGGCTAAGAGCCTATTTAGACTCCCCTAGAGATGCAAGTTCGTGTTCCTCTTGCATCAGAAATTCTTCAGTGGAAAATTTAAGAAGTGATTCAGAGGAATTCGGTTTAAAACAAGATACATTTTGCTGGTTAGAGAGTATCTTAGGTTGGGTTCCCAGGGAAGTGGACCCTGAGGCACAGATTCCTATGCAGAAAGCTGACTAGAAATCCTCCCAGCAGCAAGCCCCGTGAAGCAAAGGGAGTGGGACTGGGCAGAGGGATGGTAGGGGACAAGGCAGGTGTGGTAGGGGCCTCAGCCCATGTCACCGGGCTCTGGAACCGCACTGGCCCTTTCAGAGATGTCCCTCACTGAGGCACTGCTATAAACATTGGGGTACAGTTGGCCCTTCTTTTCACTACATCTGTATCTTTGGGGTAAATACCCAGTAGTGCAATTGCGGGTCATAGGGAAGCTCTATTTTTAATTTCTTGAGGAATCTCCACACTGTTTTCTCAAGTGGCTGCACCAACTTGCATTCCCACCAACAGTGTAAGAGGGTTCCCCTTTCTCCACATTCTCTCCAACAATTGTCTTGCTAATTTTGGCCATTCTGCCTGGTGTAAGGTGATATCTCAATGTGGTTTTGATTTGAATCTCCCTGATGGCTAATGATGATGAACATTTTTTCATGTGTCTGTTACCCATTTGTATGTCTTCTTTGGAGAAGTGTCTGTTCATGTCTTCTGCCTATTTTTTGACATGATTGTCTGTTTTGTGTGTGTTGAGTTTGAGAATTTCTTTATAGATCTTGGATATCAGCCCTTTGTCTGTAGTGTCATTTGTGAATATCTTCTCCCATTCTGTGGGTTGCCTCTCTGTTTTGTTGATTGTTTCCTTTGCTGTGCAGAAGCTTTTGATCTTGATGAAGTCCCAAAAATAATTTTTCGCTTTTGTTTTCTTTGCCTTTGGAGACATATCTTGAAAGAAGTGGCCGATGTCGAAGAGGTTACTGCCTATGTTCTCCTCTAGGATTTTGATGGATTCCTGCCTCACATTGAGGTCTTGTATCCATTTCAAGTTTATCTTTGTGTATGGTGTAAGAGAATGGTCGGGTTTCATTCTTCTACACATAGCTGTCCAATTTTCCCAGCACCACTTATTGAAGAGACTGTCTTTTTTCCCATGTATTTTTTTTCCTGCTTTGTCAAAGATTATTTGACCATAGAGTTGAGGGTCCATATCTGGGCTCTCTACTCTGTTCCACTGGTCTACGTGTCTGTTTTTGTGCCAGTACCATGCTGTCTTAGTGATCACAGCTTTGTAGTAACGCTTGAATTCAGGCAACATGATGCCTTCAGTTTTGTTTTTCGTTTTCAACATTTCCTTAGCAATGCGGGGTCTCTTCTGTTTCCATACAAATTATAGGCTTGTTTGTTCCAGCTCTTTGAAAAATGTCAGTGGAATTTTGATTGGGATGGCATTGAAAGTATAGATGGCTCTAGGCAGTGTAGACATTTTAGCAATGAGTATTCTTCTGATCCATGAGCATGGAATGGTCTTCCATCTTTTTGTGACTTCTTCAATTTCTTTTAGAAGTGTTGTGTAGTTTCTCGAGGACAGATTCTTTACCTCTTTGGTTAGGTTTATTCCCAGGTATCTTAATGGTTCTTGGTACTCTAGTAGATGGAATTTCCCTTTCTATATTTTCATTGTTAGTGTATAAGAAAGCAACTGATTTCTGTACGTTGATTTTGTATCCTGCCATATTACTGAATTGCTGTATGAGTTCTAGTAGTTTAGGTGTGGAGTCTTTTGGGTTTTCCATATAAATTATCATGTCATCTGCAAAGAGAGAAAGTTTAACTTCTTCCTTGCCAATTTGAATACCTTTTATTTCTTTTTGTTGTCTGATTGTTACTGCTAGGACTTCTAGTACTATGTTGAACAACAGTGGCAAGAGTGGCCATCCTTGTCATGTTCCTGATCCCACATATATGTGGGAGCATATAACTCTCTATGCTGCTCTGACCTGTCAGTCGCTAAATAAGAACAAGGTAGCAGAGTCTCCAGTTCAATATGCTGGTTTCCATGGAAGGTTCCCTCAAATATATGGCTTTCCCCACAGAGTTTGAGTCTAAATATATCCTAGATATATTACCTCTAGTGAGTGAATCGGGGAAGAGGAAGTGTCAGATTCTGTTTTTTTTTTTTTCTTAATAAGTCACATCACCATCTTAATGCATAAAACAAATTATTCTTATATAATTATATAATTAATTACCATTCTTATATAATCTCACATATGTTACATATAATATGTAATCTACATCTTATATATAATTATGTAATTTTTATATCATATATCTTCTATATAAGATATAATATATAATTTTACATATAATTTAAATAATTTATGAGTAAAAGTTGTTTTAAGATGTAAAGAACACAAAACTATTCCTGAACTGGTCCCCACTATTATGTATTTTTTTCTCTCTTGATATACTGATGAGTCGCCCATCAACTACTGTCAGACAGTATGAAGTGTAAGGACCATTCTACTAATAATGTTCCAGCAAATTAGTGCACTTGTGTATACTCTCATGTATTTCTGACCTCTGGAAATTGCAACAAGTCAACAGTCTTTTTTCATGCTTTAGGTTTTGACTGAGCTGATTTTAACCTTTTCTGCAGAATAGTTTCATGTGCTAATAATTTATTAAACTAGTATTATGTCTTTGGGCCCTTAAAATTTATGGGCTTCCAGGTCCTCATTTGTAAAAGAAGTCGGTTTGGGTTTGAACCACATTATCTTCAGGATGCCTGCTAGTGCAGGGTTTTGCCATCCAGTATGACTTTGTTGGCACTTTACATATGGTAGCATGTGACCTTTGAGCTGTCATCAAGACCCAGAGGCAGAGAGGAGTGTGATAGAGCCATGGTGGAGGTCTGCTACAGTGACCCTGTCCTAACCAGGGTCTCAGGAGCCAAATTTCCCAAGTGGAACCACAGAATGTTTATTAATTTCCTACTGGTAGAATGACAGTTCCCTTCACAAAATTTGAAAAATGTGAATGCAGCTTTCCAAAATGCTTACCTTACTGCATAAAATATCTTTACTCTCGAGGAAAATCTGATTTAGTGGTCAAATTTAAGACTGATGAACCAAAATTTCTTCTTTAATTTGAAAGTGTCCTTTTTTTAAGAATGTCATTTCTGAGGTTAAGAAGAGACATCTTCTCTAATAGCACTTGGATGTTTTGTAGAGCTCCTATCATTCCTAATTGAAGATTAATTTACTTAAATTACCATAATTTTTCATTTTTACCCAGTAATAAATGTATCCTATAATGTTTCAACAATGGACAGAGCAATAATTCTCCTAATACGGAAATGACTTGCTTTCTGTTTAGGTCCTGTGGCACCCTGGCCATCACCCTGTGAAGCCAATCAATTTTCTTGTATCTACACACTCCAGTGTGTCCCTCTCTCGGGGAAATGTAACTGTCAGGAAGATTGCATAGATGGCTCTGACGAAATGGATTGTTCTCTCAGCCCTGCTCCTCAGCGCTGTGGTAAAATGGAGTTCCAGTGCTCGAGCGACGAGTATATCCCATCCCTCCTGCTATGCGATGGAGTGCCCGACTGTCACTTTAATGAAGATGAATCCAGCTGCTGTGAGTTATTTTCACTAACTCGGTGTGCCAGGGAAGAAATGCAGTTTGGAAATTATAAAGAGAGCTTGACGGGTGAAACAAAGTTCTCTAGAGTCTTACCGTGATTTTCTCATCAGTAACATAGTTGCTTGTATTATGTTGCTAAACAAAGCATGTAGGCCTTTCTTAGCATTTTTAAAATTAACTTATAATGTATTATTTGTTCCAGGGGTATAGGTCTGTGATTCATTCAGTCTTACATAGCACCCAGCACTCACCACAACACATACCCTCCCCAATGTCCATCACCCAGTCACTCCATCCCCCCAAAACTCCCTTCCCTCCAGCAACCCTTGGTTTGTTTCCTGAGATTAAGAGTCTTTTACGGTTTGTCTCCCTCTGTTGTTCGTCTTAGTTCATTTTTTCCTCTCTTCCCCTATGACCCTCTGTCTGTTTCTCAAATTCCTCAAATCAGTGAGATCATGTGATAATTGCCTTTCTCTGATTGACTTATTTGACTTAGCATAATACCCTCTGGTTCCATCCGTGTTGTTGCAAATAGCAAGAGTTCATTTTTGATGGCTGCATACTATTTCATCATATAGATATATATATCTATATCACATTTTCTTTATCCATCCAACTGTCAATGGGCATCTGGACTCTTTCCAGATTTTGGCTATTGTGGACATTGCTGCTATAAACATTCAGGTACACGTGCCCCTTCAGATCACTACATTTGTATCTTCGGGGTAAATACCCAGTAGTGCAATTGCTAGGTCATAGGCTAGCTCTATTTTCAACTTTTTGAGGAGCCTCCATTCTGTTTTCCAGAGTAGCTGCACCAGCTTGCATTCCCTTGAAGAGTGTAGGAGGGTTCCCCTTTCTCTGCATCCTCGCTAGCATCTGTCATTTCCTGACTTGTTAATTTTAGCCATTCTGACTGGTGTGAGGTGGTATCTCACTGTGGTTTTGATTGTATTTCCCTGATGCCAAGTGATGTCCACAGTAGCCAGTCAATATGGCTGTTGTCCACAATAGCTAAACTATGGAAAGGGCCCAGATGTCCATCGACAGATGAATTGATGAATAATGCCATATAAGCACTATTTCATGTGTCTGTTGGCCATTTGGATGTCTTCTTTGCAGAAATGTCTGTTATGTCTTCTGCCCATTTCTTGATTGGAGTATTTGTTCTTTGGGTGTTGAGTTTAAGTTCTTTATAGATTTTTAATTTTTGGATACTAGCCTTTTATCTGATATGTCATTTGCAAATATCTTCTCCCATTCTGTCAGTTGTCTTTTGGTTTTACTATTTCCTTTGCTGTGTTTACTTAGCATTTCTGGAAACATTCTGTTTGTAGTCACACTAATCTCTGTTATACTTACCTGATTTCCTTTTTTATTTATATCTGAGCCATTCATGTGGAGAATGCGCCTATGTATTTTTTATCTTTTTTGTTGTTGCTATTACCATGTACCACCATGCAAAATTGTTACAGTATTATGGACTACATTTCTTATGCTGTACTTTTCATCCCCATGACTTATTTATTTTTTAACTGGAAGTTTGTACCTCTTAATCCCCTTTAATGATTTTGTTCACCCCACAACCACTCTCCCCTCTGGCAGCCACCAGTTTGTTCTCTGTGTTTGTGATTCTGTTTCAGTTTTGCTTGTTTTTAAGATTACCCATAGGAGTGAAAACATATGATACATGTCCTTCTTTGTCTGACTTAACTCACTTAGTGTAATACTCTCTCCATCCATTTATACTGTCACATGTGGTAGGATTTCATTCTCTTTTTTGGCTATATAATATTCCATTGTATGTGTATGTATGTGAATGTGTGTATGTGTTTGTGTGTGTGTGTGTATCACATCTTCATATATTGATGGATGCTTGATTTCCATATCTTGGATATTATAAATAAGGCAATAAACATAGGAGGGCATATATCTTCTTGAATTAGTGTTTTGTTTTCTTTGTACAAATACTCAGATATGGAATTTCTAGGTCATCTTGGTAGTTCTGTTTTTAATTTTTTTGAGGAACCGCTGTAGTATTTCTTGTTTTTATTATTTATTTTTGTTTTGTTTTTATCATGGCTGCCCCATTTTACATTCTTACCAATAGTACACAAGTGTTCCTTTTTCTCACATGCTAAACAACACTTGTCACTTCCTGTCTTTGACACTAGCCTTTCTTACAAGTGTGAGGTGATATCTCTTTGTAGTTTTGATACGTATTTCCCTGATGATGAATGATGTTGAGCAAATTTTCGTGTTTCTGTTGGCCATCTGGATGTCTTCTTTGAAAAAAAATGTCTCTTCAGGTCATCTGCCCATTTTTATTTTTAAGATTTTATTTATTTATTTATTTGACAGACAGAGATCACAAGTAGGCAGAGAGGCAGGCAGAGAGAGAGGGGGAAGAAGGCTCCCTGATGAGCAGAGAGCCTAATGCGGGGCTTGATCCCAGGACCCTGGGATTGTGAACTGAGCCGAAGACAGAGGCTTTAACCCACTGAGCCACTCAGGTGCCCCTCTCTGCCCATTTTTAATTAGATTACGTGTGTGTGGGTGAGTGTGTGTGCAGTTATTTGTTTTGGATAATAAGCTCTTATCAGGTACATCATTTGCAAATATCTTTTCCCATGTAGTAGGGTTTTGTTGTTGTTTTCTTTCTTTTTTTTTTTTTTTTAGTTTTGCTGATGGTTTCTTTGTGTAAAAGCTTTTTAGTTTCATGTACTCCAAATAGATAATTTTCACTTTTGTTTCCCTTACATGGGGAGACAAATCCAGAAAAATAAGGCCAATGTCCAAAAGTTTACTGCCTATGTTTTCTTTTAATTGTATGGTTTCAGATCTTACATTTAGGTCCTTAATCCATTTTGACTTTATGTGTGTATATGGCAAAAATGCTCTGGACTTACCCCTTTGCATGTAGCCATCCAGTTTTTCAGCACCATTAATTGAAGAGACTGTCTTTTCCCCAGTATGTACTCTTGTCTCCCTGGTCATGAATTAGTTGCCTTATGTGCATGCTTATTTCTGAGCTCTGTTCTATTCTGTTGATCTGTGTGCATGATTTCTGTTGGTGCTATACTACTTTGACTACTATAGCTTTGTATTATAGTTGGAAATTTGGGATTGTGATGCTTCCAGCTTTGTTCTTTCTCACGCTTTGGGCTATTTGGAGTCTTTTGTAGTTCCTACAAATTTTAGGATTATTTGTTTTAGTTTTGTGGAAGATACTATGGGTATTTTGATGGGGATTGCATTGAATCTGTAGATTGCTTCAAATATTTTGGACCTTTTAGCAGTATTAATTCTTCCAATCCATGAGCATGATACATCTTTCCATTTGTGTTGTTTTCAGTTTCTTTCATCAACATCTTACAGTTTTCAGCATACAGATTTTACATCATTACAGTTTTTAGCATACAGATTTTTCACCTCCTTGGTTAAATTAATTTTTAGATATTTTTTGATGTAGTTGTATATGGGACTTGTTACCATTTTAACAAATGTTTTTGGAAATGGATCGAGGACACGTAAGTAAACTTTCTTCCCAATGTAAGTATTTATGAAGCTGGCTCAAGCAAAGGGCTATAGGCAAATATTCATTTTAATGAATATATGTAGGTAGAGGTTGGACCTAGACTAACTACCTGGGTAGATATGGCAATAAGAGTTCATGGAATAGTAAATCCTAAGGACATGGGTTTGAATATCCTCCTTATCACTTACTACATGTTCAGGCTTGGGAAAGTTATTAGAACCAGACTTAGCATCCACATAATATTGCCTTTTAGAGCTATGAGGATTTGAGAGAATATATGGACAATCCTTAGCCTGGCATTCAGCATCTTCTACTTTCATTATAACTAACCTATTCGTTTAAGGAAGGGAGAGTGTTGGTTTAGAAGTAATTACACCGATCACAGGTGAGCACAAAAGCATAGTGAGTCAAAGCACTACTATCATCTCATTTAATTATTTGTATGCTTGGTGTTATATTATACTGTATTCTATATTTGGCATAGGTTGCAGTGATAGGGCTACGCAAACTACCTGTTAATGACCACTTGTCTTTTTTAAGTAGTAAAAAACTTTTTAAGTAGTAAAAAACATCTTGGAATGTAGCAGGGGACACTGAAAAAAATACAAGGCTATTTCAGTGTCTTATTTAGAGTGGGCGACAGGAATTATAACTATCAGAAAAGGAGTACAGATGAATGCAAGAAAGGGGAGACAGCATTTGGATGTTTAAAGGTTTCAGTCATAAAGTTTAGGCTTAGAGATTGGTTTTCCGTTTCCTAGTTTAGGCTTAGAGATTGGTTTTCCATTTCCATGTTATTTCCTATATGTGTATTCTTTCTGTAATAAAGCCAGCTTGTCAAGTCCTATAACATTTTCTTAGAGGAAGGTAAACAAATGGAAGTGAATAAAGAAGAGAAAGCCTGCCAAATAATTCATCCCTATTCCCATCAGGGCTCTAATATAATTTGGTTGAAAGAAATCTTAGTAAGTTCAATAGAGTCATATGATACTTGATTTCAAATACGAATGCTATTTAAATAGGAGCTTCGGAAAGTACAGTATCCTTATACTTTGAGACACTCTCTGGAAACTTGGTGTTTGATGATGGAGTCACATATGAAATTCTCCTGAAGGGAAATAAGCCCATGCTAGCAATAGACTGGTATCATGAGAGTATCGCTTCTATCCATCTCTGATATATTTGATTAAGTTGTGAGTCTCTAAGGAAAACTATATGAAAATAAACTAGGGGGAAAAGTGCTAGGGCAAATTTAGAGGATAAAAATACCTAATGATGACAGTTTACCAAAATTAAAGACATACTAGTTTTTTTGTTTGTTTTGCTGGGTTTACCTATTGATTTAGAATGGTAATTTTTAAAAAATTCATTCATTTCTTCATTCACAAACTCTCATTAAGAATGTAATCTATGAAAAAAAAAAAAGAATGTAATCTATGCCATATATTATATGGGC